GAGCTGCTGAGTGCCGGGCTCTAATGGCACCATGGGGGCAGGAGATAGGCAGGGAGAGCCCAGGCCTGGCAGGAAAATCAAAGTCCCCCCACGGTGAGAGTGAGTGGTGCAGCTATCGTGCAGGGACTTCCAGCTCTGGCATGTCTGGCAGATAGAGAGCAACACTTCCTGATGGTCCTGTAGCTGGGGTTAACACCCCCCCCCCCCCCCCTACACACACACACAGTCTGCTGTGATGTTACCTCTGCAGCTCACACACACTCATTCACAGAACATCACTTTAGATCAGCAGATACTGTTTTTGCATTTTAAACATTTGTCACCTAGAACTTTTTATTCACAGATTCTACCATCTTGATTCTATGTCAAGTCTCTGACGTTCTGCAAGTGAGACGAGGAAACAACCCAACAAGGCCCTCACTTTATCTAAGCTCCAACGGTCACACTTCTGACCTCTTTAGAGCTTTAGAGCCTCCACTTGACTCACACCCAGCATCCTGGCAGCAGAAAGTCGAGCACAGACTGTCCGAACAGAAACACACAAGCCTGGTTACTGTCTGCGTTGGAATCAGACGCTGACAACAAGGAGCGTAGCATGAATCACTTACATGGTTGAGGCTGCCTTTTAAGGAGCATCTTTAAAACAGTTTAAAGGTTATGAAAAAAATCTAAACAGCAGCTGGAAGACGTTTTACACAAAAATAAAAACACTTTTTGGTTCTCACATGGGCAAAATACAAGAGGCTGTCATTGGACTAATAAAAATTAAACTTAAACAAAACTATTTCAAATTAATAATTGGAAATGAGATCCTCTGATTAAATATTTAGTCAAATGAAAGTAAAATCTGAAGAAAGCATCTTGTAGGTCTAAATCTAAAGTTTATGAAGTCAGCTTGCAGAAACAGACTACGCAGACACTAAAAGGAGAAAAGAATTCCCTAAATGCTGTACTTATTGAAATTATATATTGTAACAGATAACCAATAAGACTGAGATGATCCCCCCCCCCCCCCCCACACACACACAGAGGTGTTTAAATGTTTGTGAACTTTTTACTGTTTGTATTTCTGCATAAATTTGACATAAAACCATCAGATTTTCACACAAATCCTAAAAGTAGATAGAGAACCCAGTTAAACACATGAGACAAAAACATTATACTTGATCATTTATTTATTGATGAAAATGATCCAATATCTAATATATAATATAATATTACATAATAAAATTATATTATTATACTACATATTTGTGAGTGGCAAAAGTATGTGAACCTTTGCTTCCAGTATCTGGTGGAAACATACGGCTTGCTCTTGGAGTGATCTCTGTTGGTCGACCACTCCTGGGGAGGGGAACAATGGCCTTGAATTTCCTCCATTTGTACACAATCTGTCTGACTGTGGATTGGTGGAGTCCAAACTCTTTACAGATGGTTTTGTAATCTTTTCCAGCCTGATGAGCATCAACAACTCTTTTTCTGAGGTCCTCAAAAATCTCCTTTGTCCCTGTCATGATCCTCTTCCATAAACATGTTGTGAAGAGACTTTTATAGATCCATGTTCTTTAAATCAAACAGGGTGTCCACTCACACCTGATCACCATCACAGTGATTGAAAACACCTGACTCTAATTTCACCTTCAAATTAACTGCTAATCCTAGAGGTTCACAGACTTTTACCACTCACAAAAATGTAATATTGATCATTTTCGTCAATAAATAAATGTCCAAGTATAATATTTTTGTCTCATTTGTTTAACTGGGTTCTCTTTTTCTACTTTTAGGACTTTTTGAAAATCTGATGATGGTTTAGGTCAAATTTATGCAGAAATATGAAAAATCATAAAGGGTTCACAAACATACAAGAACTACTGTACATATATACAGTGTGTATATATATATATATATATATATATACAGTGTATATATATATATATATATATATATACACCCACACACACTTTTTTCCAGTTCAGTGTGTTTTGTTGCCTAGAGGACTGTGGTCTAACAAACAGCAATTTGCAAAAAAAAAAGTACTTAAATAAAATAGAACGCCCGTAACATTATACTATTTATTATATTACATGCAGGTCTGTCTGAGTGTTATCAGCCTAAAGGTTCACTTCTTAAACCAGTAATAAATAAACCAGTCTAAGTCGTCCGGACGATCCTCAAAGCTTTTCAGACAGCTGCCTGCTGCGTTGATGAAGGCATCAGAAACAGATGAAATCTCATGTACAGTAAGGAGATATTCTGCTGTTTAAAACTTTTCTGTCCTGTCAAAGCCTTGTCTCTTGTCTCTGGAAGAAGACATGCTTTTTTAAATTACTTTCTACTCTTAAAACCTGTAATTTACCATGTACTGGGCATCTTGTTTTAATATGTATTTTTTTTATGTGAAACAACTTTATATCTTTCTGAAATTATAAAAAATATAAATGGCTTGTACACCGTAGGTCTTTTTTAGTGTTTTCGTATATAAATAAGCTGAATTGAATTATTGCATCAAAGGGACACTCAAGAAAAACAGTTTTTTTTCTCAGACCTGTCAAATCACAGACCGGAAAAATGAAAAGATGTTTTGCCTAAAATAATATTTTGGTGCAACAACAAAACCACTGGCGAAGTCTTATTAGTCAGTATTCCATCTTGATTTTTCCATGATATGCTCATTTGTCAGTAAAATAAGGAAGGAAGCATTAAAACCAACTGGGTGAATAAAACTTAGTTATCAAAATCTGTGCGTGTGAACTTTATTAAATGTAAAAAATAAAATACTTCATCCGTCGTTTTCTCAGGCAGTGATGCAGTAAAATGGGATCCATACTGCATGTAAAGCAGGTGCTGATGTGGACTTCAGGCTCCGAGAGAAAAGAGGCACAATGAACAGAAGCTCGTTGGAGAACTGGGCTTAACAAATAAAAAGACGACTTCAAGGGAACTCTGATTAGTTGGAACAATAGACCTCATTTGTCGTTTGACAGTCATTCTAACCCTAGCCCTTTAAAAAGGATGTAAGTCAAGTTTTAACCTCCTGGAAAATAAATGAATGAAACTTTTCATTCAACTTTTATTTACACAGGTTAATCCCATTGAGCCTCAGGGACTCGTTTACAAGAGACCTGATAAGATTTCCTTGAAGGAATGCATGTCGCCCGCTGTCTTGCATGTGAACGTTTTTGAGCAAAGACTGTATGAGCCAACAGTGTTCAGTCAGGTCATCTAGACGTTTTTTTTTTTTGTGCTGAGACGTATATACCTGGATTATACCTGGATTATTAAACATGGATTTTGGTACCCTGTATGATGTGTTTGTGCTCAAAGTACGTTTCAGGGAAAACTCTCAGCTACCACCACACCAAATTTTAGCTCATTATCAGTAAAATCAAGTGAGTTATAAATAAATTATTTGTTACATTGGTGTGAAAATATTTACAGGAATTTAACTTTTAAAATAAATGTGTGATTACTTTCTTGCTAAGGAATGTTAAATGTATATGTTCACTAAATAAAATTCAAGGAAATATACTGAAATTAATTTTGTTTTTTTGTTTTCTGCGAAACTCAAAAAATGGTAAATATGGCAACTCTTTTTACACCGAATGCCCTTCCTGATGCAATTTGGGCTCAAACCCGCAACCTCAGGATTACGGCCACGGCCCCAATGAAAGTTACAAAGAGTATTCATCATCGTGGCCACATTATTAGGTACATCTTGTTACTACCAGGTGCGACAACATACAGCAGGTGCAATATTAAAGTTTATGAAGTAGAACATCGCAAATGTTTATTCTCAATTTATACCAAGTCCAATTTGTGATACCTGATCTCTGAATAGTTGGTTTACAATAAAAAAATCATGTCACATTAATCAAAAATATTATAGGCAAATACAAGGTTTACATTCCCATTTCCATAAAGTGCTGAAAAGTTGGTGAAATGAGCAGCTGGACATCCTGGAAACCAACGAGTAAAAAACAAAACAAAAAAACGCATTTTATGAATTGAGCCAGCAGGTGATGGATAATTTCAACCAGAATATTAAAAATGATCAGTCACATCTTATTCACATCATAAAGAATGAAGCTCCGTGCACATCACCTGAAAACCTGCAGTCTGATCATTTATGCCCCCCTCCATGGAAGATTATTTCCATTTCATTACATTGTCACTCAGATGGCTTTGTTCGGCAGCGCCTGCGTCTCGCCTTTGAACATCAACACATTTTGTCTGGAACGGCTGGAATGTTTCCAGCGATGATCAGATAGCACGTTTGCTATTTTTAACTTCTGGATGTGACACTGGCCCTGAAAAATAAATCCAAGTTGATTAGTGAAGCCTTTTGTGCCGCATCTAAAAAAAAGGCCTTTAACTCTCACACAGAACTGAAATACACAGCTATGACTAAACAACGGGCTGTCTCCTTCATCCCATTTAGGCACACTAAGAATAACGGCTTCATCTCTGACCTGAAAGAATAAAGAGAGATAAAAAAACAAAACATTTATTTCAGGGAAATAGTTAAATGTTTAGTATCTCCACAGACAAGAACCAGGAGGACTTTCAGAGACATTTGACTTCTCAGGTGTAGGAGATCGGTAAAAATTAAATAAAAGTTGTCCACTTTTTACAGCGACCCATAAGCGATGCCTAGGTGGGCCAGCGCTCCGTAGAAGTCTCAGATGCAGTGAAGAGTTTGCATTAAAAGTTTCTTCTTCTCAGTGTGAAAGTAGCAAACGTGTTAAACAGATGAACACGATTCAGTATGGCAAATGACCATTTATCCATCCTTGGGAGTTTTTTTTTTTGCTCAGTAATTGAAGGCTTAGCGTTCCCATTCGATGCCGATTGCCTCATTTTTCGCCTGAATGAGTTGCCCACCCAACTTTCCACTGGTCTAACAGTCTAGTTAATCAGGCGGGCTGGCTTCCAGCAGCTCCAGCCTGCTGTGGAGTGGGAGGCTAGCAGGGTGCAGCCAGATCAATGTGCTCATGTCTGCCTTGAAACTCTGGGGGCTCGCAACCTCCCTGCTGCACTCTGTCAGTTCCACTCGTCTCTTTACGCTGGGTTCACGAGGCCCTCAGCTGAAGAAGTAAGTGGATTCTTTCACATGCTGGAGATCGAAATCACCTGAAGAAGAAAGAAGCAACGTGTCAGAGCAGGTTTTAGTCAGAGGGCAGTGGTTACATGTGATAAACCATCTACAGCACTACATTATTGCTGCTAATACAAAGTAGCTACGGGAACAACCTGACAGAAACCAAACTCTCAGCTGTAAAGTAAAACAAAAAGAAATCACAAAAGAGTTCACTGCTATGAATGATAACTAGAGAAATCGCATTTCCTGAAAAAATGCAGTGTGAATGCTTATTGCTGAAGAGCATGTAGAAAAACAGCTGAAATTAGCTTAAAAAAACATGCTGAAATGTAGCTGAAATGGAAGAACAATCCTAAATTAGCAGAAAAAAGCAAAAAAAAAGTCCATGCTCAATAATCTAGGTATACAATCCAACAATTTTCAGTCAGGTCATCTGGACAGTTTCTTTTTTTGCCGACTGAAAATTGTTGGATTGTATACCTGGATTATTGAGCATGAACTTTTTTGGTTTTGAACAAGTTTGACATGATTGTCGACGAGGAAGAGGGCCGGCAACAGAGGAGGGGGCGTGCCAAAGACACCATCTTAGCACCAACATAACTGGTTTGTTCAACTTTGGAGTAAGCTGTTTGGGGGAAGAATCAGTTTTGTGATGTATGTTTCCTTGACTGATGAAGCCTTCTGGATGGAAGGTGAAACGTTTCAGCAAAAAAAAAGAAACTGTCCAGATGACCTGACTAAAAAATGTTGGATAGCAGAAGAAAGCAGAAAGAACTCATATTTGCTGAATTAGGTTTAAATAAGCAGAAATGAGCACAAAAATTAGGAAAATAGCTAAAAAAAAATTGAAATTAATAACAACAACAAAAAAATCTAAAGCGTAGCTGAAAAGGCAGAAAGAAGCTTAAACTACCAGAAGAAAGTGTAAAGAGCTGAACTTTGCTACACAAATGTGGAATTAGCTGAAAAAGCAAAAATGATCACAAAACAGCTGTAGCTTAAATAGTTGATGAAATAACTGAAACTAACAGAAAAAAGCTAACAAGCTGAAATTAGCATAAATAAGTTAATTAGGCTGAAAGAAGCTGAAATTACCACAACAAATTAATTTATCTGAAAACAGCTGAAATTAGCTAAAAACATGTTAAAAAAAAGGTAGCTAAAAAGGTAGCACAAGGTTAAATTAGCATAAAAAGTAGAAAGAACATGTTTGCCCAATTAGGCTTAAAGATGCAGAAATGAGCAAGAAAATTAAGAAATTAGCTAAAAAAACGTTGAAATTAGCAACAACAACAAAACAAAAAAATCTAAAGAGTAGCTGAAAAGGCAGAAAGAGCATAAACTACCAGAAGGAAGTGTTAAGAGCTGAAATGTGCTAAAAAAGGTGGAATTAGCTGAAAAAGCAAAAAATAGCATAAAACATCTGTAGCTGAAACAGTAGCTGAAATAACTGAAACTAACAGAAAAAAGCTAAAAGGAGCATAACAAGATGAAATTAGCATAAAAAGTTAAATAGGCTGAAAGAAGCAGAAATTACCACAAAAAATGTATTTATCTGAAAACAGTTGAAATTAGCTAAAAAAATGTTAAAAAAGGTAGCTGAAAAGTAACAAGCTTAAATTAGCATTAAAAAATTAGAAAGAACATGTTTGCCCAATTAGGCTTAAAGAAGCAGAAATGAGCACAAATAAGAGGAAATTATCAGAAAAAGGCAAAGATTTGCCAAAAACTGCTGAAAAGTAGCTAAAAAAAGCAGAAAGAAGCTTAAATCACCAAAAGGAAGTGGAGGGAGCACATTTTTGCTGAATTAGGCTGAAAAAAGAGAAATGAGTGCAAATAATGTGGAATAAGCTAAAAAAGCTCAAATTAACATAAAAGGCTAAATAGTAGCTGAAGTAGCAGAAAAAGCTGGACCAGAACAAAATGTGAAAGGAGCAGAAAAATGTTGTAAACAGATCTAAAGATATGAGGGATGTAAAATGAGCTCAATTCATTTTATATGAGGAAAAAAAAGTGGCAGAAAAGGCTAAATATTTCAAAAAGCTAAAGTTGCACCAATACCAAAAGTCATAGCAGGATTGTCCTGAAAGAGCTGAACCTTTTGATGTAATTATTTGGTGAAATAGCACAAAAACTGTGGAACGAGAAAGATGCTGAAAAACGTATGAAAGAAAAATGGATTACAATAGTGTGAATGCTTCATAAACTTACACACTATTAGAGAAATTTCTCAGTTCGATCAGAATAAAGTTTGTCAAAAAGGACATTTTCATACTAAATCAGAAGCAGAGAAACTCTTTTTTAAGTTAATTAAACTTAAAACAATTTTTAAAAATGAAGACCCAAGTTTTTAGCTCCGGCAGGCAGCAGAACATTTTCTGAGAGCTCTAATAAATAGCTTGGAAGCTAATTTTAGCTCAACGTGAGCTCCTCTCCTGCGCTTTGCCTTGTTTGCTCCTTGACAGCTGTGTTCACCAGTAGGAGCTGCAGCGTGAATTATTGAGGAGTGAGCATTAAAAAGTGAAAAGTGAAAACCTTCAAGTGGCTACAAAGTGTTGCCATCCATGCTTTAATATGCTGAACTTTGACCTACATCTTGGGACACGGAGAAAATGTGTTCAAGGGACAGAATCTTTCTCATGAATATGGTTCTTCGGTTTCAATTTCTATTGTCACAAATAGACTTTAGCTTTAATTTTTCCACATTTTGTTTTTCTTTTGACTGAGAATTTATTGCAATTTTACAATAAATCAATCTTAAATATGAAAAAGTATTGATTCACAATAACTAACATGACTTAGGAGATCTGAGTGAGCAACACCAGTAAGTAATTTTTAGGTTGAAACGCCTGTCGTTGCTGTTTTAAGGTGACACTTTCTCTCATCAGTAAATGCTTTGGTCTCCAGTTAGAGAACTGGGTGGAGGCTCTACTTCAGAAATGTATTTCTAATACAATTTCAATATTATTTGTTTCTTGTTGATGTGGCTAATGCAGGGATGTTGTGTTTTGTGGCAACATGGAGACTTACCGCAATGATAAATGGTCAATGGACTGTACTTATAAAGCACCTTTCTATCTAATCAAGAACCTCAAAGCTCTTTACAACACAATCTGTGCCCTCATTTACCTCCACACATCCATTCATACAGCACTCTACTACAGCTCTACAAAGATAATTGAGCAAATCATTCTAAAGAGACTAATCAGTGCTTTAAATCACATGCATGCACTGATGAGACACCTATCAGAGGAAATGAGGGGTTCAGCATCTTGCCCAGGGACACGTCAGCGTGTGACTGCTGGTGGAATGAACCTCCAACTCTCCCATTGGAAGACGACAGCTCTAACCACTCAGCCATAAACCCACCCTGCCAACAAAATGTGCTGCACTGAAATTGAAACTCGCCCTATCATGGTTTACACTTAAAAAAGTACAAATTACTTACAATCACCATGAGCTTTTTTCAACCATAACTGATTTCAATAAACATTCAGTGGGTTTCCCATTAGAACAAGCAGGGCATTATGCAAACATCCCTCCCACCCCCTCCGAGTTGCACACCTAAATGGTCTCCGCCACAGAAGTTGATTATGTAAGTGAGGGACACAATTAACAGTAATCAATTTTTACAAGGCAGCTGTCGGTGCCAAGTAAACAGTAGAGTACAGATATAAACGGAGGCACGGTTTGTACAGCAGCGATGCCTGAATCCACCTGTCTCTGCACAGCCCCTATAGAAAGTATTCAGTCCCTTCAATGTTTTATTGTTTTATTGCTGCCATAAAATAATCAAAGTTAATATAAAAAGAGTTATTTGAGAAGAACAAATAAAAGAGTCTAAGTAAACCTTAATTGCCAAAATGAAATCAAATTTGTACACAGAAGTACAGTAGTCCCTCACTACTTTGCGGATCTACTTTCGTGGACTCGCTCTTGGTGGTTTTTCAACGATTGTCAACTTTAATATTACTCACATGATTGGGACGGTACGGAATAAAAAGTTTACGAAAAATTAAATAATACTACGAACAGGTGCCATCATTTTGTAGTTTTCTTTCAATAAGCCTACATTGTATCCCCAGTCCAAAAGAACTACACTACCCAGAAGTCAACAGTGCTTCCGGCTGCTGCTTTCTGCCAAAAAGGAGGGAAAGTTTTGATCCAATCCGAACCTGACTAAAAAGTTTGGTTCTCATTCATAGTGACTTCAGCGCTCAGTGACTCCAGAGAGCCGATCAGAACCAGAACTGGACCAGAACTACTTCCAGTCTCACCAGTCAATCTGAGAGCTGCTTGCATGGAGCTGCTTCCATGAAGCCTCTCGAGTGGGGAAGCATTGCTTGGAGGTCCGGTGTCTTCTCTGGCGCTCACCCAGATTTTGTTCATCAGATCCCTCTGGATTATTTGGACCTGATCGGGACCATTGCGTGGTTTTGTGCTGGCTCTCGGAAGGTCCGGCTCTCTCTAAAAGCATCTGATGCTGAACGGCTGCAGAGAGCTGACCAGAACTGGACCAAGTCTGGTGAGTTCCTCATATAAAATTTTGTAGTATATATATATATATATATATATATATAATATACGTATGTTGTTAAAATTACGCAGGTTTAAGAATTTAGAACATTGCAAGCGTGTGTGAAGGGTTTATAAAACCGTAAAATTGATATAAATACTAAAATAAATATAGTGTTTCAACGTTGCGGTTTTTCACTTATTGCGGGGGTGTCTGGAACATAACCCGAACGATAATCGAAGGACTATGGTACCAAATAAACCTAAGTTTGTAATGTAAAATAAGTAACTGCATAAATATTCACCTCCTTCCATGTGACTGTCCCAGTTCAACTCAGAGAAAAGATTACTGAAAAGTACGTCAGGAGATGGATACAAAAGGGCCAAAACATGCCCAGGAGTTCTGTAAATCCACCATCATGAAAGGTGGGATGTGCAAATCTACTAAGAGCCGGCGGTCCTCACAAACTGAGTGACTGTACAAAAAGAACAGTGAGAAAGGCCACCAACACATGTGAGCACTCTGAAGGAGTTACAGGCTTCACAGGTGAGATGGGAGAGAGACTGTGCATACAACAACTGTTGCCCAGATTCTTTACCAGTCTAAGCTTTATGAGAGAGAGGCAAAAAGAAAGCCACTGCTGAAGAAAACTCCAATTAAATCTCAACTAGAGTTTGCAAAATAGCATGTGGAAGACTCCATGAACAAGTGCAGCTGGACCATGTTATAAAAACAAAAGCAAAAAAAAAAAAAATCCAAGGGGTGAATACTTTTTATAGGTAATTTATATTGAGAGCAAAACCCAGTATAAATAAACAAAGGAATAAACGGAGGAACCAAAATCTTCAACAGCCACACAGATAACTATAACCTCAACAAGAATTTCCTGATGCGTGCTCAATAATCCAGGTAGAAAAATCTAAAATAAGTTAAGTCAGGTCCTCTGGATGGATACCAAAATAAGTTTTTTTTTAAACCCATCCAGAGGACCTGACTTAACTTTTTTAGACTCAGCAAGAATTGGAAATAACACTTCAGTCAAATTCTACATTTCACTTTCTTTGATTAAAACTCCAAATGAGTTGTGTAAAAAAACAACAGGAATCAAGCGGAAAAATATTAAAACCGGAAGAAATGAGTTCTTTGACTTCTTCTATCACACAAACAACTTAACTTAAAAACATCTTTAGGTCATAAATGTAGAACTCTTATCTAATCAGAGAAAATAAAAATAGTGCACGGTTGACTCCCCAACACCCCTCCCTTCACAGCAAGCCCAATTCTTGATGTGAAACCAGGTGTTGTACAGCTGTACGGACACTCACCTGTCTGAGGTACTTTGGCCAGCACCGACAACATCTTCTTGTACTCCTTATATTTCTTGCTCTTGGCATCCATTCTGACAGAAAGAAGCAGAATAAATGAGTTCAGTCTTACAGGAGAACAACAAATTGTGTTGCGTGTCTAAAAATAAGAAGTAGAGGGAAAACAAAACACTTCTAAGGTCTTTAAGTTGTAGTTCTTTTTAAAGAGTCACTCAATACTGCTGAGCGATAGTCTAAAGGTTTCAATCTGATTACCTGCAACATTTAGCCTATTTAAAATGTTTATATATGGTACTGTGCAAACGTTATGAAACACCAATAATTTTTTTGCATATTTTGCTTTTAAGGATCCAGACTTGATCAAAACTGGTCTTGATCAATAGTTCAGGAATTTTAAAGGTTTTCTTTGGACTTTGACTGCTTTTCCACTCATTTTCTGTCAAGTACCTCACCTCACTATTATTATTATTTTTAGTATCGAAATGCATAATTTATATGAATTTTACGTGAATAAGGGGCAGTTCAGTTGTTAAACAAGGACAATGTCCTTCAGATGTTGTTCCACTGTCCAAGTACAGCTCTAGTCAGTTGGTGTCTAAAGGAAAATCAGTTCAGTATTTTAACAAAGAACCCACAGTGTCTTTGCAGTTCCATGTTTTCTTGTCTCTGAGGCATACCAGAGTAATAATGACAGAGTAGAGAAGGATGAGGGTAAAGAGTAAAGGATGTTGAAAAGGTGCCCAATTACTTCCAAAAGACAAAATACTGTACTGAGGGATTATGACAGTTATCCACCTTAGGGCCAGTAAGAAAGACATGAGTGAAAATCACACTCTGCTGTTACAGACTATTAGAGGTAAAAACCTGCCCTGCCTAGATTAATGTGAGGAGTAAATCTTGTGTGTTGCTTGCACTAGTATGAGTACATGCAGTATTTGACAGCTTAGGCCTGCATCATAAAAGTCTAAAAGATCATACACTGAAAAAAAAGCTCAATATCACTGATGGTTTGAGTGAAAAGGGTTCCAAATTTGGAAAAAAATTATAAAATATACTGAAGCTATATTTTGTTTGATTGAAATGAAAATGCTGTCCAAATGTTACTTACTGTATATGTACTGTTTACTCACATATATGCGTGTGAGTTAAATAAACGAACACCGCATGTAAGTATGAATACTTACATGAGTGTGGAGCAGTATTTTTGCAGCATAAAGTTGGACAGATCCTGTAGAATCGGCTGGCTGTGCAGAGCGACAAACTGCTCGCGGCAGATCTAAGAGAGAGGACAAAGACAAGACAAGTTAGTCAACATACAAGCTAAAAAAACATCCATCCCTCCATCCCTCCCTCCCTCCATCCATCCATCCATCCATCCATCCATTTCGGTCAATACCCAGAGTTCGTGGCCATAGGTGAGGGTAGGAACGTAGACCAACCGGTAAACAGAGAGCTTTGCCTTACAGCTCAGCTCCCTCTTCACCAAAATGTACCGGCATAGAGTCCACAATACTGCAGACGCTGCACCAAATCTTCTGTCAAACTCACACTCCATTCTTCCCTCTCTCGTGAACAAAACCCCAAGATACCCGAACTCCTCCACTTGACGCAGAACCTCACCCTCGACCCGAAGAGAACAATCCACTCTTTTCCGACTGAGGACCATGTACTCAGATTTGGAGGTGCTGATTCTTATCCCAGCTGCTTCACACTTGGCTGTGAACTGCTCCAGTGAGAATTGAAGATCATGGCATGATGAAGCCAACAGGATCACATCATCCACAAATAGCAGAGATGGAATCCTGAGGCCACTGAACCAGACTACTTCCACCCACTGGCTGCATCGAGAAAGTCTATCCAGAAACAGTTATGAACAGAATTGATGACAACAGGCAGCCCTGGCGGAGTCCAACCCCCATCCTAAAGGGGTCTGACTTACTGCCGGCAATGCAAACCAAAGTCTCGCACCATATAGGGACCAAATAGCCAACAGCAACGGGCCCCAGTCACATACTTGCAGAGCACTCCCCACAGTGTATCCTGAGGAACAGAGTCAAACACCTTCTCCAAGTCCAATAAACACATGAAGACAGGATGGGCAAACTCCCATGACCCCTTGAAGACCCTAGTGAGGGTAAAGAGCAGGCCAAGTGTTCCACAGCCAGGAAGGAATCCGCATTGTTCCTCCTGGATCTCATTCAATTCAATTCAAAAATACTTTTTTAATCCCAGAGGGAAATTAAATGTTGTTGTAATTCATCATCCTGGTTTCATTAAAGAGTTGTTGTAGATGCTGATGGCTGTGGGCAGAAAGGATCTCTTGTAGCGGTCTGTCCTACAACGGATCTGAAGAAGCCTCTGACTGGACACTCTGTTGTTGTATGACAGTCTGATGAAGAGAATGCTGAGGGTTGTCTATAATGCTCTTCATTTTATGAGAATCCTTCTTTGAACAATCATCTCCAAAGGTTCTAGAGGAGTCCCCAGAACTGAGTCAGTCTTCTTTATGAGCTTGTTGATCTTTTTTAAGTCACTTGCTCTGGTGCTGCTACCCCAGCAGATGATGGCAGAAGAGATAGCACTCTTTACAACAGACTTATAGAAGATATGCAGCATCTTGCTGCAAACACTGAAGGACTTCAGCTTCCTCAAGAAGTACAGTTTGCTCTGTCACTTCCTGTAGACGTCTTCACTGTTGCATTTCCAGTTCAGTCTGTTGTCCAGGTGAACCCCAAGGTATTTATACCTTTCCACCACCTCCACTTCTTCTCCCATGATGGAAATAGGGTTGGACCTGTTCCTGTTTCTCCTGAAATCTAAAATCATCTCCTTTGTTTTGTTCACATTCAAGATGAGATGATTGTTTTCACACCATGCCACCAAGCAGTCCACCAGTTCCCTGCACTCAGCTTCTTGTCCATCTCTGATATACCTGACCACTGCAGAGTCATCTGAATATTTCTGCAGATGACAGGAGTCTGTTTTGTACTGGGAATCTGAGGTGTACAGAGTGAAAAGGAATAGTGAGAGTACAGTCCCCTGTGGTGCTCCTGAGCTACTGACCACCTGGTTAGACACACAACCCTTTAGTCTCACAAACTGTGGTCTGTTCGTCAGGTAGTCTTTGATCCAGGTGATTGTTGAAGCCTCCACCTGAGTCTTCTGAAGTTTCTGACAAAGCAAATCAGGCTGGATTGTGTTACATGCACTAGAGAAAGCAAATAACATGACTCTCACAGTGCTGTCTGCCTTTTCTAGATGACAGTGAGTTTGCTGAAGCAGGTGTATGATGGCATCTTCAACTCCAAGTCCACGACAATAAGCAAACTGCAGTGGGTCCTGATATGTGCTTGTTTGTTTAGTCTGGTGGGCCAACAAAAGTCTCTCTAGGACCTTCATGATGTGGAATGTCAGGGCAACAGGTCTATAGTCATTGAGGACTGATGGGTGAGGTTTCTTTGGTACTGGAACAAGGCAGGATGTTTTCCACAACACTGGAACCTTCTCCTGGGTCAGGCTAAGGTGAAGAGGTGCTGCAGAACCCCACAGAGTTGCTCTTCACATACCTTCCGGACTCTGGGACTGACACCATCTGGACCTGCAGCCTTATTCAGATTCAGTCTCTCTAGCTGCTTCCTCACCTGACTTATGGAGATGCAGAACGGGGAGGCAAAGGAGGTATCAGTAGCTTCTGATTTGGTTGAAGACCAACATGTAGTAGAAGAAGGGTCCATGACCGAGGTGGTAGATAAAATATTTGAGGTGTGACAGGACAGCCTTGTGTCGAAGGAAGGTGGTATGTTTGTTTGGCTGTGGGCAAGAGATGAGGACGATGAGCTTGTTCCTGAACTGAACCTATTGAAGAATGTGTTCAGTTCATTGGCTCTGTCCAGGCTTCCATCCTTCTGATCTTCCTTCTGCTTGAAGCCTGTGATCTTTTTCATCCCTGATCACACCTCTCTAATATTGTTCTGCTGCTCTCCAGCTTCTTCTTGTTTGCTGCACCTCTTTGCAGTTTCTTATCTCGCCTTTTAGTTGCTTCTGTGTACTCAATAATTCTCTGTCTACCTCCCTGAAGGCTCTTTTTTTTCTGGTTAAGCAGTTCCTTCAAGTCAGTGGTTGACCAACGATTGGACTCACTTCTTCAGTACCCCTGAATAGACCTTACCAGGGAGGCTAAGGAGAATGATGCTCGTATAATTGGAGCTCACCCTCCGCGCCCCCATTTTAAAGAGAGGAACCACCACTCCAGTCTGCCAATCCAGTCGCACTGCCCCCGATGTCCACGCAATGCTGCAAATGCGTATTAACCAAGACAGCCCTGCAACATCCAGAGCCTTAAGGAAATTAGGGTGGATCTTGTCTACCCCCGGAGCCCTGCTGCCACAGAACTTTTTAACTACCTCGGCAACCTCAACCACGGTTATGAACAGATCAACCCCAAAGTCCCCCGACTCAGCTTCCTCCATGGAAGATGTACTGGTGGGATTGAAAAGGTCAGAGAAGTATTCCTTCTACCTCCTGATGATGTCACTGGTTGAGGTCAACAGCACCACACCTTCACTTAACACATTGTTAGTAAACCACTGATTTCCCCTCCTCAGCTGCCTAATGGTTTGCCAGAATCTCCTCAGAACCGACTGAGAGTCTATTCAAGACCTCACCGAACTCCTCCCATATCTGAGCTTTTGCCTCAGCAACAGCCAAGGCTGCAGTATGCTTGGCACTCCAGTACTCCTCAGCTGCCTCCGGAGTCCCACCATCCAACAAAGTCCATTAGTAACAGAAAATAAATGATCTCTAAACCTAGTGTGACAGCTCACTCAGTTATGGTATAGCAACAAACCTGGATAGCTATTTTTCCAGTTCTTTGAAATCCTCTAACAGTATTTCAAATATTTTTACACCCAGAACAGATCATTAGGCAAATGGGTGACTCGATAATAACACTTATACCATTCTTCACAGAATTAAAACAGTGTGAACTGTCTTTAGACTGTGCAAAGTCCCCCACCAACCCAATTAAAATCCACAGCTGGGGCCATATCTGAGGAGCCATAGTGTAGGTCTCAGTTGAACATTTTCTATGCATTACTTCTATGATTTATGCATGTGAGTCAATTTCCTCTTAAATCCTCATTTATTTGGGTTTGCTTGTGCATCTCACAGTAAATCTTCCTCTGGATTCCACCACAGACAGGCTGCCAGTGGAAAAAAATAGGCAGAAAAAGATGGAGGATAGATGGGCTGCCATTAAAAAGAGACTCCCTTTTTCCATGTGCTTAGATGTCGACTAAGATATCTGATAGCTCTCTTCTCTGCTGCTGTGTTCAATTACCTGTGTAATGAGGAAGGCATACACCCCTCAAATCAAGAGACGAAGACTACGAAAAGAAATAAATGTAGTGAGATGAAGCTGCTTCACTGGTTATGACTCCTCTGAGATTGGACAAAGATATAAAACTGTGACTGTGCTTTGGAAGTGCATCTACAGAAAATTGGGACTTTGTGGTAATTTGATTCATTTTATTCTGAGCTGTGTCTCAGTCTGGACTGAACGATCTACTTTCAGTATGCAGGGGCAGGCAGTCATTTATTCAGCCAAACAGGCTCTGTCTGCTACCTGCAGCCTGAAAATGCAAGAGGCAGAGACAACTGAAAGTTTGCATTAGGGGCATCACTTAGCTTTTATTACAGCAGAAGCACTCGTTATAGATACGACACAAATTGATTTTTATCTCCAGCATCCTCTGTGTTATCGGTAAAACAAGCTCAGCATCTCAGCACTTAGAAAACCACACATCATTCCTTTGACGAGAGAAAAAAAGCTTTACTTCGAGAAGAGACAGAGATGAAAGGACCGAATCACATAAGCTATCTTTAACTTGTATACATCATTAAAAAAAGAGAAGAAAATCCTGACAATTCATGATCAGACAGGGCAGAAACAGCTGTACAGGGATGATAAGAGTGGGGAATGATGGGAGAGGAGAGATCACTGTAATCTGATACCTTGTTCATGGTGTCCACAGTGAGGGCGTGAGTCCAGAAACAGTCGTGAACTGAGACGAATGTCAGGCCAGTGCTGAGAGAGGAAAAGAGGAGCATGATGAGGGTTCATGTAAGAATAGAAAGGATTCAAAAATAGGCAAAGAAAGGCTGTAATTGTCCAAACACAGGTGACTCAAAGTCTCTGCAAGTTCTACTTTGACGTAAAACTTGTCAAAAAAAGAATAATTGATCTACTAATAACAAGACCTTTACACAGTACAATAAATGTCTCAAGTGATGTGTGAATAAAACAGGATTGAGCTTTCTTAAAAGCCTTCAGGCGTCATGCACTCATGAAGCATCATGTTCTGATTTTAATCAGGAAACTGGGTGTTCCAAACCCTGTCAGTGTGCTAAATAATACCTGTGGCAGTGGAGAGAAGTCAGCATCATGTGTGTGGAGTCCAAAGAGTGGATAAAGTTTGGTGGGAATGCATTCTTCTGTTTAACTGTGTCAGGTCTCCTGAAAAACCAAATAGACATAAAAAAGATACTTTTAGGTAGACAGCAAGAGTAATCGCCAATACATACTTGAAGTGCTGGTCTTTGCGCAGGATATTTGCCTAAAACTTTGGCATTATGTGTTTGACAAAACCCTGTTTGGCTGTTAGAAATTTATCTCAAGAATTACTGGACAAATTCTAATAAAACATTCAAAAAGCAATCATGTTATGGACAACCCCCCCGCCCCAAAATAAATAAAGTGGTATATTGATGTTCCCCGATGCTGAGGTATTTGAATATTGAGTGCCTGTAGATTTTGAGATGACTTTTTCAAGTTTTTCTGGACTGGAATTGAACAGAGAATGCAAGTAAACCACAATGTATTTGATACAAGATATTCAAGTGGGTAGGAGTCACACTGTGTATAAGAACAAAGGTAGATTTATTTTTCTTTTTTTGCTTGTCCCAGGCAGCGCAAAGTGACAGATACTGGGGAGTGGAGAGAGCAATTTATCCATGACTAGGTGCAATGACAGACAGACATAGGGTATTTCCAACTACCCCTTTTCGTTTTGCGACGGAGAAGAAAAAAAAAAGTGTTAGGAATCAATCAAATACAAGATGGCTACAACAGCTAATCAACCTTTGCTATCACAAAAATGGGTATAACTCGGCTTTACTGATATTGAACTAAAATGTCATATGATTGTACGCAAGCGAAATACCCAAAGCATTCTCTGAGCATGACGTCTTGTGGTATAGCTAAGCATATCACAATAACAAATTTTGCTGGGCGATTAATTTTCTCAGAAATTACTGCGATAAACAATAATATTGTTTGAAACTTGACAATAATTAGTAATTGTCAAATTGAAGAAGAAATGTTGGTTAATTTTGTGTGTAGTACCATTTTTGACCACTGGATGGCAGTATAAAACGTATGAACCAAAGGATGGATAGTGAGGGAGCAAGCAGCGTGTCTGTTTAAGAAAAATGGGTGTGAGGTTCCTTGACGTGACGTGACTGTCTCTCGTTCCTGTTTTTCAGTTCTCAAAATGGCGGACGCTCGGTGTGGTTTGAACTCTTTAGCATAGCTAGCATAGCTAACTCTAGCATAGCATAGCATTGAGCATGCATCAGGATTTTAGCATAGCATTTTTCACACAAAGCTTTTGATAAAAAATCAGTAAACAAGTTCTCAGCTTCTTTTTGCAGAGGAAAAACAACTTTTTACACAAAGGCACGGGTTTCAACCGTGAATTTTGGAGCTTCGACAAGACAGAGAATTTTTCCCAATGTCGGCTTGTTAGCTTAGCTCGTAGCTTAGCTTCTCAGCTTAGCTGCATTTAACGATCCAAAAAAACACGATTTTGGACGCTTAAAACAGATTTTAAAGAGAAAAGAAAGGGAGGGGTCAGTGAAGGGCACCAGAGTTGAGCTTTTTGCCATCCAGTGTCTTCAGTAGAAAGAGAGAGACACGAAGAAGCGATAAAGCCGATAAACGAAAATAAGGTCGATAATTTTCATTTATCATGTGATTAATTGATTAATTGATTTATTGTTTATTGCGACAGGCCTAGGTATAGCACATGCTATTATTATCAAGGTTTGACCAAATCAGCGTTAAGACTATCATTTCTCAACATAAGAATATCTTAAAGTTTAAAACTGGCACGACAAGCAGCACACAATATGCATTCTTTAATGAAATGCAATTTTTATTTCGAAATAATTTTCAACTTTGTTCAACACTTGAGAAACAGCAGTTAGAAAAAAAAAAGCACTGCATTTGTATGAAAATACAATGTATACAACAACAAAAGGATGTGTACAAATATACTAAGCTGTGTTCACCACACTTAAAAGTTTTCACTTGAATTCATTCAGGGCTCATTTTTGCTACAGAAAAAAAAATTCAGTTTTCATTTATTTCAACTTGCTTTGTGTTTTTGAGATAGCTTTTCAAATTAAAATCGTTGTGGTTGTAAACAAATGTAAAAGTTTAGATTTCTTGTGTCTTTTTTCCCCTATAGAGGTGTTTTTATTTACATATTCTAGTAGGGTCCATCTTGCTGTAGTTAGTAGTTTATGTTACTTGCTGAAACCATCAGTTTGCTTCAGGTCAGCCTGAAGGGTTTTGAATTTTTGTCTTAGTCCCCCCAAAATTTGCATCAACCTAGGGACACCTTGCTCACTGTGTTAATTTTAGCTCCCCATTATGGATGAATCTTTACAAAGTTTTACTGTGCAACTGCCTACATTATGCACTCTGTTGAAACAGCAATCTGAAAGTAGTTGACAATGACATTTGTCACGATTATGGAACAGCATTACAAAGCTGCTCAGTAACAGTTGCTTTCTGAACAGCAGATACTTTCCTTGTCTTTATCATTGTGAAACATGGACATTTTTTGTTGTACTTTGATGCAGGAGAATCAAACATTCAGCAAAAAATACATTAATAAAAATAAGCACAAGTCTATTTTTCTTTTATGCTTAAAAAATTGTTGCTACTCGTTTGAAGGATCTTAATTTAATAACTGCATCTAATTTGACTCTTTTTTTAATCATAAAAGTTGGTTCACTTGTGTTTATATAAATTCTAAATTTACAACTCTGGGATGGTTAGATTTCCTACCCCAACTGTTTATAAAAATGTAGCGTTGCTGCTTCTGCGGCTGCTTTATGGCCAGTCTTGTCCCATGTTCCCATTAACCTGGACCTGGGCCATTTAAAATCCTGTGGGCCATCACAGACCAGAACATTCCTCTAATGGAAACACAAAAATAGTAGAAACAGCCTGAGCCAAACCCAAAGCTAAGACACTAAAGCATGGGCACACAGCATGATAAAAATAAAATAAAAATAAATAACATAAAGGAGAATTTAAAGGCTATCATTAATCTAGCTTATCGTATATTTAAAGAATACAGGTAAAGTAAAATTAACTCTTGAAAATACAGAAAAAGCCCCAATCCACTTTTAGCGTGTTTCAGACTTGGAAAACGAAAAGGTATGAAACTTCTTAAGTAGAATAAATACCAGCCTTTTCAATAACTTTTTGAGTAGGACGCTAATGGCTCAGAGTAGGAGGCTGTAGTCATTTCCCAACATCAACACAAACAGTAGATGTTCTGTGCAGCAAAAATGTTGGTTTTCTCTAACTACAGACAGACAAGATCATGAAATCTGATCGACATCAAAAGCATATCGTGTCCATTTGAATGAAACGGTTTTAACCCTTTACCTTTATGACTATTCATGTTCCTCAGGGGAAATCAACCAACCACCTTATTTAACTGCTTAAAAATACCATTTTAAAATATTTTTTCCACAAAAAAACTAGTGAGTCTGTTAGAGCTGTCTCAGCCTTTAAATAAAATAATTTAAATTATCCTTTTTTATTTTATTTTAATACTTTATGGGGGTTTTTGTTTAAAAAACACTACACTACAGGGATTTTTAAACTGACAAGATATTTATTTCATGGTAAATTTAGAAAGTATATTTTCTTCCATGCTCCGGTTTCCTCCCACGGACCAAAAACATGCATGTTAGGCTGATTGGTAACTCTAAATTGTCCCTAGGTGTGAGTGAGAGAGTGAATGGTTGTTTGTCTCATTTGTCTCTATGTGGCCCTGTGATGGACTTGCGACCCGTCCACGGTGTACCCCGCCCCTTGCACAGTGATTGCTGGACATGGGCACCAGCGACCCCCGTGACCCAAAATGGAATAAACGGGTAAAGATAATGGATGGATGGATGGATGGATTTTCTTCCATTAGTATGTCCTCTGGGTCAACATTCACAACCTGCTCTGTTCTCCAGAGCTCAGAACTGATGCTTGGTTTTGTTGGCCTAGTCAGAGGGGTTCTGGATACCCTACTCTGTGCAGAATCAGACCTCCTAGTAGTGCTCGTTCTGCTCTTCCTCTCTTTCAGTCCTCTCTGTCTGATTGCTTTTCTCCTTCATGATCCTCTCCTCTGTCTGAGAGGTTCTGGGTCTGTGGTTCTGTCCTTCTCTAGGTTTGCAGCTGTCTTCCTCACGTTCAAAAATCATCTCGTTTTGACTCATATACACTACACACCAACTATAAAACCCAAACACGTTAAATATCACAAATCTCTCAAACCTCATGACTCACTCCCGCTCTCACAATGACTTTATTGCACCAAATTCCATTCAACTTCTATGTCTTTTTCTTCTTCTTCCTGTAGACTTTTTGGCACATGATAAATAACTTTGAGCCTCCATCAGAAAGGAGCGGGATAGTGGCTTATCTGTTCAGTGGGTGTGGGAGGTGAAAGTGGAGGGTGATGGGGGCATTTGTTCCCTGAGACTGCCCATCTTTGCTGCAGCCTCTTGCGCTACCGTGCTTCAGATTTGACAATGATTTTCAGAAAAAGATGTGTCGTGGATTTTTTTTATCATGACTCTTGTTTTATTTGGCCTACCAACACAATTTAAAAATTGGTGTGCAGATTAAAATCTTAACTTTTGACAAATTAAATTGGGGTCGCCAAGAGGCTGTGTCTTTTCTGCTAGAAAGACTGAAATCGGTCATGTGACTATACGCGCTGGAGTGTCGATTGACTCCAAAGGGAAAAAAAATCATCAGTCAGAGTAGGCAGCGCCAGACCCTTGAGTAGAACTGTCATTTCTAACCCGAACCCGTAGCCTGGCCCCGGTTTCGGATGGGGGCGGGCCAGAATAATGTGCTTAATGTGCGAACCAGGCCGGTGTCGGGCTTTTGATTGCATCAGCGGACGTGCACAGCTGACGATTCAATTAGATGACAAAATGGCTTGCCATACTTCACTAGCCACACGCGGCCATTTGACCACGTGCTGACTGGCCTTGAAAGAGGTAAAAAGTTCAGTTAAGCTTCAAATGGGCTACTGCCAGCAATCCATCAGCCCAAATGGACATTCATTCAGCCACTGCACTCAGCAGATGTACGCGGCCGATGACTCAAACAGTGAGATCACAAAATATCCGACATGTCAGAGCAGGGTACATGTCTGAATACAGGCAGAAGTAGCTCCGATCTTCTGCCCCCTTTACTCAGCCATGCGCGTCCGTTGATAAATAAGCAGGTAAAGCTTAATTTAAAAAATGTCGGGGGGGTGGGGGGGTGTCTGGTTTGGACCTGGTCGGTTGGGTGGTGTATGGAAATGATGGTTACGGGCTGGGGCCGGGTCAGGTCGGATTTTTTGGACCTGAATACAACTCTACCCTTGAGAAGGTGTCAAAATCACTGCCTGCCACCTGGGGAGTCAGCCACCCCACCATCACAGACATTTACACCTCCAGATGCAGGAAGAAGGCTACCTGCATCATTAAAGAGTTTATTTGTTCAAGGATTATTTGTGAACTTAAATAAAATGTTTATTTTTTTGACTATTTGTTTTTGTATGCAGATGTAAAGGCCAAAGGAAATCACAGTGATTGTGACAGGTCTACCGTTACAATGTCTGTCTGTGATGCTTTCACAGACAGCAAATCTCAAGTTTCAGATGCAGCTTTCACCTCATTTTTAGCTCTCAACTTCATCCCACCCTCCCTCCACCTGAGTTATTGTTTCATATTCAGGCTGATGGTGCACTGTAAATGTCAGACTGAGGAGAACAGCTGTCAATCGGTGTCTTCCATGTCTCCAGTGTTTTCACTCTATTATTCCTTGACTTTTCATTGCTGTCTCTCAGCTTGTCTCCTTTTGTTTGATACTCACCTCTGTGACTCCGTCTTGTCCTAACCCTTCCCTGCAGAACTTTTTTGGCTTAAGTACATATTTAAAATAAATAAATAAATAATCAGCATCAAATTAATACCAGTGCATTATTTTTTATGTCAAACTGTGTAAGGCTATCTTTCATGCAATATATTTTTTCCCTTTATCTTCTATTTGGGCAGCTATGGCTTAGTAGTTAGAGCAGTCGTCCTCCAGTGCAAGAGTTGGGGGTTTGATTCCACCGGCAGTCACATGCTGAAGTGTCCCTGGGCAAGACACTGAACCCCTCATTGCCGTCGATGTGTGTCCCATTGGTGTATGAATGTGATAAAGCACTGATTATTCTTTGTACAGATATAGTAGAGCGCTGTATGAATGGGTGATGAGGGCACAGATCGTAGTGTAAAACGCTTTGAGTATCTTGATCAGAACAGAAAAGTGCTATATAAGTGCAGTCCATTTATCATTTATTTCTATGCAAAATCTATTTTGCTTGGTTTCCTAATTGCAAACATTTGTCACAAAAATGCCTTTAGCCTACTTTTTTAACTTTTAGATAAGCCACTATACTTCAAGTGCATAGCATATTTTTTAAATGCATAACATCAATGTGATGGAAATTCTGAGTTAATGATAAAAGTGAAGTTTCTACAAAGAACGAAAAAGACAATTAGTTAAAGTAGGCACGGACGTTTTTAGTTAAAGTAATCTCCAGGGAAAGGGCTGACGCTCTTGAAAGTGTAAAGTAATTACCTCATAGAAACACTTCTGTCTAGATTCATTCATCTATGTGAGAAAAAAATAACTACATTTTGACAATGTGTGATTACAAATTAAACAAAAAAGTAATAACAAATAAAAATCATTTGTGGCAAACAGCATTTCTTTAACCAGATAGCTTCCTTGCTTCATTCATATCACTAACACCAACTCAGCAATGGCATTTCGGGTAAAAATGCCAATGAATGCATGTAGAAAAAGTAGTACATTAATTAAAAAGAAAGAGAACTACATCTATCAAGTCTGTGTTGAAATGAGAGTAAAAAAGCAGACAGAAACATATACACAGAGTCTTACTCTTTGCTGTCATGGTTGATTTTGAGGATTATATGTTGCATTTTGCTCTTCACCTGGAAAGCAAAACAAAGAACATATTGGTTATAGCCTAAAATAGGTTAGGTTTAACTTGGCTTAGTTTCAGCTTCTAATGACAATGGCTCAAAATGACATTTTACCATTATAATTACATTTTAACAACCCATTTGAAGTAGGGCATTGACCAAATAAAATCACATGGTCATAGAAGTTACAAGTTTTGGAACAGAATTCGTGGAAAGTAAATGTCAATGACTTAATATGAACTTAACATTATGTAGATTAAAATAACAAAAATGGCTGTCATGAGCCACTTTATCTGATGGAGAGTTGTAAAAAAAAAAAGAAGAAAAAGTTACAACAATGAAGATAAATTTTCTATATGTACTGACTTCTAACAATCCTGAAAAGAATTTAGAGAAAATAGCATGCCTGATTTTACTCATACAACAATCATATTATTCAACATCTGCTACATTTTTCCCCGGTTCAAACCCCGGTCCGGAGGCCTTTCTGGGTGGAGCTATCATGTTCTCTCCGTGCATGTGTGGGTTCTCTCTGGGTACTCCGGTTTACTCCCACAGACCCAAAACATGCTGTTAGGCTGATTGGTAACTCTAAATTGTCCCTAGGTGTGAGTGAGAGACTGAATGGTTGTTTGTCTCGTTTATCTCTATGTGGCCCTGCGATGGACTTACGACCTGTCCAGGGTGTACCCCGCCCCTCGCACAGTGATTGCTGGACATGGGCACTGGCGACCCCCGTGACACAAAATGGAAGAAGTGGGTAAAAGATAATGGATGGATGGATACGTATATACATATGTATATATGTGCATATATATACATATATAGAACTATA